CATCAACGAGGATCCCGTTGGCATCAAGTCGATTGAGTGCGCCATTATTGACCGCGGTTTTGAGAAGGGCTGGATGATTCCTTCGCCACCCCAGACCCGTTCTGGAAAGACTGTTGCCATCATCGGTTCCGGCCCTGCTGGTCTCGCTTGTGCTGATCAACTCAACAAGGCTGGTCACACTGTCACCGTCTATGAGCGTGCCGACCGTGTCGGTGGTCTCCTCATGTACGGTATCCCCAACATGAAGCTCGACAAGAAGGTCGTTCAGCGCCGTGTCGACTTCATGGCTGCTGAGGGCGTCAACTTCAAGACTGGTGTCACCGTTGGTGAGGAGGGTCAGACCAACCTCGAAGCTCTCCGCAAGGAGTACGACGCAGTTGTCTTCGCGACTGGAGCTACTGTCGCTCGTGACCTGCCCATCCCTAACCGCAACCTGGACGGCATTCACTACGCCATGCAGTTCTTGCACAAGAACACCAAGTCTCTCTTGGACTCCGAATTGGCTGACGATGCTTACATTTCGGCCAAGGACAAGCACGTTGTTGTCATCGGAGGTGGTGATACTGGTAATGACTGCATTGGTACTTCCGTTCGCCACGGTGCCAAGTCTGTCGTCAACTTCGAGCTGCTGCCCCAGCCCCCAGCTGAGCGTGCTCGCGACAACCCATGGCCGCAGTGGCCCCGTATCTTCCGAACTGACTATGGTCACAACGAAGTCAAGACTCACATGGGCAAGGATCCTCGTGAGTACTGTGTCATGTCCAAGGACTTCGTCGACGATGGTAGCGGCAAGGTCAAGGGTATCAACACTGTCCGTGTTGAGTGGACTAAGTCCGCCTCCGGTGGTTGGGACATGAAGCACGTCGAGGGTAGCGAGCAATTCTTCCCTGCCGACCTCGTCTTGCTTTCCATGGGTTTCTTGGGCCCCGAGCAGCGTGTCATGAGCGACGTTATCGAGCTTGACGGCCGCAAGAACATCAAGACCCCTCCCGGTCACTACAACACCAACCTGGCAGGTGTCTTCGCTGCTGGTGACTGCCGTCGCGGTCAGTCCCTGATCGTCTGGGGTATCAACGAGGGTCGCCAGTGCGCTCGCGACGTCGACTCCTTCCTTACCGGCTACGGTACTTCCCTGCCCGTCACTGGTGGTATCGTCAAGCGCCCACCCTACGAGGCTATGCACAAGCACCGTGCTGCTCCTAACGAGAAGCTGGTGACTGTCGCCGCTTAGATGAATCTATGATTATGATTGTTACTGTATGAAGTAAAGGTGCATGGAAAAGATGGTCACGGCAAAAGATGGGTTTCGGGTATATCATGATTCTTTGGCGTTTTGATTTATGTACGCGCATTTTCCCTCGTTTACCTGCACGATACCTTTTCAGTATGCGGAGTCAGCTGGGCGGCACCTGCAGTGTACAATGTCTTTTAGCTCTATTCATTTCGCACCCAATTTGTATATATAGGCGAATGTTATGTTCAAATTGACGTTTTGCAACTTGCTGTGTGATGCTTATAACGCTTTCGCCTCTTTATCGCTGTAATCAATCATCCTGCCTTGTTCGCAAGATTGGAAGTCGCATGATGGAGACTACAATCATTGCGATAGCATCCAGAACACGGATGCTCTTTTTTTTTCGCCTGTGCTCTAGACATCGCGATTGGTGGCATTGATTACTTCGCTTCGCCAGGCGGCAGATGCACAAAGCCAAGATTCAAGATTAGTGACGTCACGCACCTCTAATCTCTAGATTCGCTAGTCTTGAACGGTACTCCAGGCAGCGAACATCAGTCGACTGACCTTCGTTGTATTCTGTATATCGCCATGCCCCGGTGACAATTAGGTCGTGAATATGTTACCCCGTACCGGCTGGCATCAGACGTGTCGTCGCCCTCTGCATGGGCCGACAAGGTGCGTTTACGAAGCTGGATCCTTGTTGGCGATCATCGCAAATATACTAACAGGCCATCAGGATCGTACATCCGACACTTAGAGCGACATGTAAACCAAGCAGTCTAGGTTGTCGAAGACCGTGGACCGTCCCTGCTCGCTATGTAACTGGACTACAGGCTGGTGAAGACAAAACCGGTCACATCAGCGCAGGACCTAACGAGGGCATCCTCTTCTTCAACAATGTATTTCCTATCCAGATTCGTAAGGTACTAGGTCTCCCGTTGCCAGGGATACTAGATCGCCTCATCAGTCCGAACATATCTGGTACCGACCCTAAAGCCGTCATTGAAAGAGCGAGTGCGAAACGAAACTTGCAGATTACTGGCACGGAGGTACTTCCACGGATGCGAGAAGGAGGAGCATTCGTCAAGTTCACTCACGACGGAAATGCCTCTGCTTCTGAGATTGAAAAAGTGCTTCAAGAGTACCTAAGAGACGAACCAGTCAAACCATGGTGGAGTCCATGGAAGAGGATGCGCGCGAAGATGGTTAAGGGAAAGCCATGGGTTGAAGATCTCATGCGTCTCCCAGCTTCACGTCTGCGAGTTGAGTTTGTCTCTGCTGAGGCAGGCGTGCCGGCATCTGACGCTATAGAAATGAGCCAAGAACAGCTCTTCCAGTTCTTCAGGCCATACGGCAAGCTATCAGACATCGTTATGCAGCCTCCCGACTCGAAAGTACTCCCAAAGTTCGCATATCTGGACTATTCTAGCATTGGGAAGGCTATCATGGCCAGGAACTGTATGCATGGCTATCTTGTGTCAGAAGCTGAAGGAGGTGGCAAGAAGGGCACAATCCTAAGGTTGAAGTACGAGCAGAAGATCAAGCCTCGATATATCAGAGACTGGATCTTTGGCCATCCTCGCATCATCATCCCGATTGTAGCTGCTCTTATCGCTGGTACCGTTGCCATCGTCTTTGACCCGTAAGTCCATCCTCTACATAGATAGCGTGAGCTGACAAGAGCGAAGTATCCGAACATTTTTTGTGAAAGCCCACATCACGCGCAACTTCCACATTGAAGACAACAAGTGGTACCAGTGGATCAAGGGATATGCCACAGATATCATTCACGGTGGCAATAAGCGCGACGACGATGACAGCATGGATGCTATCTGGGATGATAGGAAAGATGACATTGAACAAATCAGAACTTGGTTGATGGAGACTGCTGAAACTTTCATCATTGTCCAGGGTCCTCGGGGCTCTGGCAAGCGCGAACTTGTCGTTGACGAGGCCTTGGAGGATAAGAAGCTCAAGCTTGTGATCGACTGCAAACCTATCCAGGAGGCCCGAGGCGAGAGCGCTACCATCAATGCTGCAGCGTTGTCTGTTGGCTATAGACCTGTGTTCAGTTGGATGAACAGTATATCCGGGATGATCGACATGGCTGCCCAGGGTGCTACAGGTGTCAAGACTGGCTTCTCCGAGACTCTTGACTCTCAACTCAGCAAAATCTGGAACACTACGACCTCGGCACTACGACAAATCGCTTTGGACACACGTCATAAGAACGACAAGGATGCGCACTTGGGAGACGACGAGTGGCTTGAAGCACACCCAGAGCGCAGGCCGATCGTTGTAGTTGACAACTTCCTGCATAAAAGCCAGGAAGGCGGTATCGTCTATGACAAGATCGCAGAATGGGCCGCCCGTCTCACAACGACAAATGTGGCTCATGTTATCTTCTTGACCAACGATGTCGCGTTCAGCAAATCGCTCTCCAAGGCCATGCCGGACCGTATGTTCCGTCAAATCTCTTTGTCCGACTGCAGCCCTGAGGTAGCGAAGCGGTTTGTTATCACGCATCTTGACGCCGATGTTGAGGATGACCCAGCGCCAAAGGACGGCTCCCCTAAGAAGCTGCCCTCTGAGCACCGCAACGACCTTGATGAGCTCGACACTTGTATCGATTTGCTGGGTGGCCGCCTTACCGATCTTGAGTTCTTGTCCCGACGCATCAAGACTGGTGAGACACCCACCAAAGCTGTGCACGAGATCATCGACCAGTCAGCTTCTGAGATTCTCAAGATGTACATCTTTGGCGCAGAGGATGAAGGCGGAAACCGACACTGGAATGCCGAGCAAGCCTGGTTTCTCATCAAGGAGCTCGCTCAGAAAGAAAGTCTAAGATACAATGAAGTTCTCATCGACGACATTCTGAAGACTGGCGGCGAATCCGTCCTTCGCGCCCTCGAACAGGCTGAGCTCATTTCCATCGTCTCTGGTGCGAATGGACGTCCATCTATCATCAAGCCAGGAAAGCCTGTCTACCACCCCGCTTTCAAGCGCTTGACTGAGGACAAGGTGCTGAAGAGCCGCTTGGACCTTGCCATCCTGACGCATTTGACAAAGATTGAGAACGCGACGATTGACAAGTGCGAGAACGAGTTGTTGTTACTGAGCAAGCTAAAGAACCAGCCTGCACAGACAGCTGGGCGTATCAACTATTTGTTGACAAAGTTGATGACTAGTCAAAACAAGGTGGAGAAGTACGAGACGGAGATCAAGGGACTGAAGAAGGTGCTTGGAAATGAGTACTAGGATTTTGGAAGGCTCTGATGAGAGCAACGTATACAATGATACCATCCCCTCTGAATGCATTATCAAGGTGCTATGCGTGCAGCCGTGCCGAAATGGCATTGTGACCCCACCCGTTCACTACTACGTACGATGCATTGGCCCTTCTAGTGCCATGTCCCGACTCGTACGAAGCATAGCAGTGTCGGCAGGTAATAACAGCAGTGAATATTCCGAGAATATTCCGCTAATGGTGCGGCTAGCCTCGTGCGCTCAGGAACGTTTTGCTCTGACATCACCCTGCTAAGGCTAACGTGACCGAGGATCGGGCAGGAGGAAGCATTTTCCCGCGAAGCAGCCGAACGCAGAAGCAAGCTAGCGAACGACCGTGAGCTCCACCTCGTCCACAACGCGACCTGCCATTGCGCACTTGTCCCTTCTCCACTCCCAGCGGCCCGCGCATCTTCTTGTCCTTCTCATCGCCCTTTGCAATTCCCCCCAAAACTTTTCCTCACATTTCGGCGCAATGGCACCAATAGCAGATACCGTGGTCGATGACCTCAAGAGCACCGTCAACAGGCTCGAGAAGCGCATCGCTGAGCTGGAGAACAAGCTGTCTGGCCAGAGTGGGGGTGCATCAACGTCGGCGGAGAGCGTCAGGATGATCTTGATGGGACCACCAGGTGCTGGTGCGTAGTTCCGCTCGAGAGGGTCGAAATGTGGCATTTTGCTTACACCGGGTCTAGGCAAGGGCACACAAGCGCCGCGAATCAAGGAGAAGTTCTGCGCATGCCATCTTGTACGTTTTACCGCTATCCACGACACCAAGCTGCGGCATGGGAAGCCGGAAATGGCAGGCTGACAGATTGTAGGCTACCGGAGACATGCTACGCGCTCAAGTCGCGGCCAAGACAGCCCTCGGTCGGGAAGCGAAGAAGATTATGGATGCCGGCGGTCTGGTTAGCGACGAGATCATGATCAACATGATCAAGACTGAGCTCGAGGGCAACGCCGAGTGCGCCCAGGGGTGCGTACTCTGACGATTTGTCTCTTTTGGATATATCGGAAAGGCATGCTAACGCGGAGTCTCCCTAGATTCATCCTCGATGGCTTCCCACGAACAGTAACCCAGGCCGAGAAGCTCGACGGTATGCTTGCTGCGACCAAGAAGCCCCTTCAACACGCCATTGAACTGCAAATTGACGACGGCCTCCTCGTCTCGCGTATCACTGGCCGCCTCGTTCACCCCGCATCCGGCCGCTCCTACCACAAGATCTTCAACCCACCCAAGGCCCCCATGACCGACGACGTAACCGGTGAGCCGCTCATCCAGCGCTCCGACGACAACGAGGACACGCTCAAGAAGCGTCTCTCGACCTACCACGCCCAGACCGCGCCCGTTGTTGCATACTACCAGAAGACGGGTATCTGGAAGCCCATTGACGCAAGTCAAGAGCCAGGCCAGGTATGGAAGAGCCTGCTCAAGATCTTCGACGACAAGGCCATGGTTGCTGGACGAACAGGCAGCTTGCTCAACAAGGTTGGTCTTAAGAACTAGACTGGGCCTTTTGTGTGAGCAGGGGCGTGATCCCAGGCTGGAAAATATTGTTCAACGATACTACGAGTCACGCCTACGTGTCATACCGCCAGGCACACGCAGAATCTTACAATGTCCAAGAGTCGCTGGTCATGTTCAGAGCCACGTATGAGAAAAGTCCACTTTCACGCTTTGGAATGAAGAATGCACATATGGTTTGGATGGGTTCCTTGTACTTGTACAGATGCATACGGTGGTGTGGGTAGTCTGTGGGGACACCTGTGTGTTTCAAATGACTCTTGCAAGCTGGTTTCTGGTAGTCTACCAAGATCGGAAATGCTAGAAATGTTCATGAAGATACCCGTGGTTACAAATGTGGCCTGTACTCTGACCGCAATTCTGTGACATGTTTTAACGACGTACTCATAACTACAAGTTACCCGCATACCTCGTATTGATCTTGTGAATACACATGTGCGCTCTCATGCTAGGAGCTTCCTTTGCGCCACCAACACGTGCTCCTACCCGCCGCCGTTCCAACAACGTGTTCCTAGTCGCGCACTCGGCGTTAGCACTGCCCAACATCTTCTAACCTCCGGGCAACTTCTCACTCCCGAAAAAGTGCCCGACAACCCTCCACATATTATCCACCCCCGGAGCACAAACTAGGCTCCCGTACAAGCGCATTACCCCAGATTCGCAATTCGACCACGTATCGCCAGACTGCACGCGCCGCCCTAAGCCTCAACCACGAAACGAGACACCGAATATCAAACCCCTCGACCCTCGACCCTGAACCCAGAAAGGGGACACTAAGAAGGGAGACGTCCAACAACATAGCGTACCACACCACACGCATTCACACACATCGCAATCATGTCAAGTAGATTCAGCAGCCGCGCCGACGCGCGCGACGACCTCTTCTCCTCCTACAACCGCAGCGCCTCACCCTCGAAATCAAAAAACAAAGCTCGCGCAAGCCCTTACAATGCTGCTGGCGGCTACGGCTACACACCACCTTCCTCCGCCGACGGGCCAGGCTTTGGCGCATATCCTGGTGCTGGTGGGAGTAAGGCGAATGGGAGCTTATATCCTGGGAGCGGAGGGAGTAGTTATGGGGGTTATGGTGTAGGGGGCGGAAGGGGGAGTGATGATGGAAGGGATGGCATATATCGGGCTGCGACACCGAATTCAAGGGGACAGTACTCTGCGGCTGTGTTGGATGAGTTGGAGAGCCAGAATGATGAGCATGTTGGTGTGCTGACTAGCAAGGTCAAGATGTTGAAGGACGTATGTTGCTTTCTTTCTTCTCTTCTGCATCCTCTTCTCTACTGTTCCTCTTTCCTGTAATCGCACTACTTGGAGAGTGTTGTGTTAACATCTACTAGTTGACCCATCTCATCGGCGATGAAATCCGCGATTCCACTAGTCTCGCCGAGAAAATGAACGATCAGTTTGAGAACTCGAGACATAAGATCAAGGGTACCATGAATCGTATGTTGAGGATGGCGCAAAAGACGGGCGTAGGCTGGAAAGCCTGGGTTGGGTTCTTTGCCGCGGTTATGTTACTGTTTTGGTGGGTGTGGTTAGGTTAATGGGGGATGCCAGAACAAGAGGAAAGATAGACTGGCGTATACTTGACGTTGATGATCTATTGACTATAGAAAGAAACGTTTGGGAAAGAGGGGTTTGCATTGCATCGAGTCGCATCTGGCATGGTGTAAGGCGTTTGATTGACAAAGTATCGTCTGGACGCTTCAATTACATTGCTACCACGGTTCTCTACATGCGCTTCAACTTGCCATATACCACGTCTCCGGCTGAGGTGCGTATCAGATGACTTTCACTACAGCGTTGCGCTCAACTGCATACTCTGGTGACGCTTCCTCGAAGGGCTTGCGATTAACTCGGTCCTGTGGAATGATTTCCGTGAAGAGACCTATCCTCTCGAATTCGCCGTCGTACCTGTGGCCATTAAACTTCCACGGTCGTAGGTTTCTCTTTACCAACACCATATACCATATCATTTCTTTAGACTCAACTTCCCCCTGAGCTATTTCTAGACAAAACACAGCTTCGCCATCTTCTACCACATGACCTGACTGTGTCAGATCGAAGTCGGTGCCAAAGCGATATGAATCTTCACGTTCTCTACCTAACGGCGTGAGGAAAGCTTGGTGCCAGTCCCTGTCGTCGACTCCTACATGACTAATGAATGCCTGTATCAAGGTTCCTGATAAGACAATGTATCCGCCCTTCAACTGACCCGTAGGATCCTTGCCTATAGGCGAGACTTTGGCTTCCTTGATAAATGCTGAAACTTTTGGGCTCTGAAGACCAACGTGATATATTCCCCGGCCCACTCCAAGGTCGTCAAAGGTGATAGACGCCCATGAGAACGACGGTGCTCTCCAACGAACAGGCCGATGGCCTTTTTTGAATGTGCGCCACAACAGTCCAAGTGGCATCGTTTCTCTCCATATCCCCGCGACATATGTCCAGCCAGTAGCTTCCTCAAAGCTTTTTGCGATACCTGAGATTGCTGGGAAGATGTCGTTTGGTTTTGAAAGCTTTAGACACGCGAACTCGAAGGCGGCGATTGTCCATGGATTATCTCCTCCTAATAGTTTACCCCTGAGCAAGCGCCATCCAGCTGGATGGTAATGATTTTTGGGTGCTAGGTCCAGCTCCCATACCGCTGGCTGGCATTGATGACGCCAGTCAAGAAACCCACATTCGCAGCGCTGATGTTGCATACATTCCCATATCAGCTCATTCTCAGCGAAGTGAAGTATCCGTGGACTTAGGAGGGGTTCCTGAAAGACCCAACCTCGCTTGAGGAGCGGCGATTGACTTATTCTGTGATCAACTGGCTTTCTAGCATAAATGTGACAAGAACTGGACAGTGATTGGCTTATGTGCGCCTCAGGAGTCTTACGAAAGAGGCCCTCTTCTGAATTTGAAGCCTCTGTAGCTGCCAGAGTTACAGTGGAGTTGGAGTAGATGGCGGCCATCTTTGCAGATTGGATCTGCCAGTCCTTTTCATCATCTTGGATAATCTGTAGGCAATTTCAGCAAGGAGACGTGCAGCGACGATCGATCCGAAAATAACCTACACATAACGAATCTATCCAAATGTACTGAATCCCAATCGACAAACTGACTGTGATCGCATCCCGGAATGTCTTCGGCAGATCTTCTTCCCGGATGTTCTCCTGATGAATCGAGAGGGTGTATGGCTTTAGAGTCGTCCGTAAAGGCTGCTTGTCGCCCCAACAGTGGCTCAGACACGCATATCGCCCTTCTCTGTTCTTCGTATCGACGAGGCGGATCCGACGTGGCATGTTGAGGCTTACCTCAATTGCTCGATCAGGCAATGTAGCGTTCTCGCTACGCGACGCCAAGCACAAGCCTTGGTGTGTTTTAATGCATGTATCAAGCCAGTCATTGATGGTTTTGAAGCTTTGTCTTGAGCCAGTATTGCCTGGTATGTGTCTTGCCGTAGGAATGATGGGGTCGTCTTGAGCTGTGTTGTTGTTAGAACGACTCCATCCTAGGCTCTCATACTCACAATCCAAAACGAAGAATTCTCTCAGCAGCGAGCGTTTACTTCCATGATGTTCCTGGAAATATGTTGCGTTTAAGGCTGTATCGAGCAGTTCCAGATACACTTCGTCTAAACTGGCATATTCTGGCCTGGCCTCGCATAGAACACGACAGTAGTAGCACCCGCATTGGGCCAACTCATATAGAGACGCTTCATTGGTGTACAGGTAGGAGTTTTCTCTCCGCCGCTTAAGCCTTTGTATCGCGAGACACGCAGCCATCTTATAGTTAAGGATTCGAGAGTTTGGACAAGAACGCATCGACCTTGCGACTTGCGTTTGAATACCGCAGCGTAATGTGATCTCCTTAAGCGCTTGTGGCGCGAGGCTGAGTCTCAGATTTGTGAGCGGCAATACCCAATGGCGGTCCGGCACACCTTTGTGGCCGGTCATCATCACGACACATCATGAGTTCAAGCATCAACTACCCTCATGAGTGACTTCTTTACGCGATTTGCTACGGAGGCATCATAGGATGTAGTGCTTGACAGTGCATCTGGCGATCGAGCCCTGAGAGGTCACCGGAGCCATCGCCGGACCGGACCTAAACGACGTACAACTGTGAACACGATCAAAGCCCTGACAGCTACTGGATTTCACTGTTTCACGATCGCGGTTGGTGAAAGAGTGTGGTGATGAGAATGTCGGAGAAGAAGAAGACGCGTCGAAGAGCTGCCGCGTGCTCGCTTCGAGGAGGGACTGCGCGTCATCAACTAACCTTGACCCTTCTAAGGGTCACGATACCTTTTCGGGCTCCGTTCTACATCAAATCGACATGCGTGCTGATTTTAGATGGCCCAAGAACCTTTACCTAAACTTCCTAGCCTTTGCGATCGTCTTGCTATATACATGCTGTCAGTCGGTCTACCGCATATTGCAGGCTCGACAGAGAGATACTAACAGCTGTCTGCTGGTGAGTACTGGTCGCTCATTACTTTTTTGCAACCCGTACACGCGATGGGAGAACTTGGTCACTCCTTTCCAAATCGAGACAGGTACCAGGTTTGAGACCCTACCTAGGTAGAGTTCACTTCGGCCTTATCATGCGTAATGCAGTGGCTTGGCCCCAGCGCAGCCCTACGCAGCGCACGACTAGATGGAGCATAACGACTTTGGAAGTCAAGGATCCCCCAGAGGTTCGCGACAACTGTCTTCCTTGATTCTTGCGACTCCGAAAGCAATTGGCTCTGTCCTGTGCCTGTTCCCAAGATACCGGGTTATTACGTGGTCGCTACATGGAAGATGGAGCGTCGTCTTTGGGCTCTAACGTCTCTTGACGACGTACGAAGACAGGAAGTAACTGCCACAGCAGGACACCCCAGGAAACGCATGGGTACGTGGCATGTGGTTGCTTTTCATCTGAGCCGATCCTGTGCTCATTTGCAATAACTTGCTGTCGCTTCAACACTTCCTAGGTCAGAGTCCAAATTTTCATCGTCATCGGTCCAGGCCATCAACAGTCAAGAAAACACCAAAACTATGCGGTTATCGGCAATCACGATGCAAGGTTTTTGCTCTTAATATCCGACAGCGTCAACAAATGGCAGCGCCACACTCGCATGCGCCACGCGTCCTGGCAGGGATAACCAAGACACGATGATCTCATACCAAAGCGAGTGCGCTAAAAGCCAGCGATCTGCACGGCTATGCGGCTCCACTGCACTAGCCACACTATTCAGAGACAGAAAACATGCGTGGCTGACGAGGCCGAGAAACCGCAAACCCTACGGTTGTGTGACTGTCGGCCGTTCTTGGATGCCAAGAATGCTACGCAATGGTCGTGGCTGACGTTTGTTGGTGGTTCCTCTGACGAAGCAAGGCACAGTCGTGGGTGCCAGATGTATATATACTGCAGTAGGCCAACACATACTATTACCACAAAGCATCAATTCAACTACCGAGTCTTGCCAGCATCACAGTATCAGTTCACCAAAGACACCGACTATCCATTCCGATCTACTCCTCTGATAAGGATGCTCTTCACACGTCTTCTCTCAATCATCCTGCGCACGGCGCAATGGGTCTTTGCTGCTATCGTCTTGGGTCTATCGGCATACTTTGTTTACCAAAGATCGCGATATCATGTCGGGCCTCTAGGTCGTTTGATCTTCGCCATAATTTGGTCTTCGCTCTCCATTCTCTTCGCCGTCATCTGGGCTATCCCCACCAGCTCTAGTATCACCGGCTACACATCCGACTTTAGTGAGTGCCTCGATCCTCCACGATGATTGGAACAACTACTAACAACTGTTGCGCAGTATTTACAGCCGGTTGGGCCGCTGTCTTCGGACTTCTTGTTAGCTGGTTCAACGGCCGCGGCTGTGGTAGTGCGTGGGCTTGGAGCGGTGTATCCTTTAGCCGCAACAACTCATGCGGTCAATGGCGCGCTGCTCAAGCCTTCTCCTTCTTGTCCATGATCCTTTGGTTGGCGACTGCTATCCTTGGAATATTGACAGTACATCGCCTTAGGGGCCGTGCTGCTGGGTAAGTCTTTCGTCGTTATCTTGTGAAGCTCTAGCTAACAACACTGCAGTCGTGGCTCGCGAGTCTAAGCGTCTCTTTATCACCCACCACAACCATCCAATCGATACCATACCCCATTATACGAGAAAGGCTTTACACAAGGGTTGTCAGAAATACAAGCCATTCTTTGGCTATGCTTGAGTTGTGCTATCGGAAACCATGCTGGAGAACTTGTTAGCAAGTTTGATCGCATCCTTGTCAATTATGAATTTTCATGTATACCCCAATCAGCGAGGAGTTGTCCAGGGGTTTCTTTTGTCTCTTACTCGACGGTTGACATACCTCTTTCTGGAATAGTAATACAAACATCATAATATTGAAGACTGTGTACTCGACTCTTTTACAGGCTATGTCAGTAGTATGTTCAAACAGATTCGCCAATACACTGGGCCAGCAATCCAGCGGTTGTCGTCACCTAGCTAAGTGGTTGGCAGCAGAGCCATGCGAGGCATTGTGTACGTAGCATTTAGACTATAACCACGAGTCGCGAGATGTGATACTTATGCAGCAGCACTGAGTCTACATACTCCAATGCCACGCGACTTTCCCGTGAGTTATAGCGAGCGCTTTGCAAAGCTTGGCCACCTCGTCACAAACTGAGTTGCCGTAACAGCAAAGGTTAATTCACTTACCAAACAGGAGCTTGAGATGCAGCAGACACGAAGAAAAGTGAAACTACACTGTAGCCTTTCTCCCAAGTGCACGTTCAAGCTCTTCCATACAATAAAACCGACGATCTTTCCTCCACATTTCCCGAGCAATTTCTATTCCTTACTATCAACTCTGACCCGGATCGATCACCAAGATCAACTTGTTCAGTCAATCAAGCCCTGTGTACTCCTATTTAGTCACCATGTCTCAAGACAAAACTAAGACCAGTAAGACAGACGGAGTCTTCAAGAACATCCACCGTCGCATGTCCAACTTCGGAAAACCCTCGGGGACTCCCAAATTACCTTACGAGACAACGTCCTCAGTCGCGGACCAGCTTCCTTCTTCCCATAGCCTATCGCCACTGAGCTCGGTGAAGAGCAATACTAAGCGTCGAAACGACGAACGTGATACGCGACTCATATCTCTTGACAAGCTGATGGACGGTGCTGCGATAGCTGACAATGATAGGCGCTGGTTCGAGAAGATCAACATCGCCGTCCGCGCTAAGATGAACTCCTCAGCTTACGACCCTTCTCATGACTTCGAGCACGTTCAACGCGTAATCATGAATGCACATCGCCTCTGGCATGCGGAGAAGGATCGTGAAGTGTTCCGGAACGTCGATCCCCTAGTTGTCTACGTCGCGGCTATGGTGCACGATATTGGAGATGGAAAATACCTCTCGGATGAGCTAGTCAAGATGGAAACCGATGAAGCTGATCAGGAGCAACAGCGAGATTTTATCGAGTCGTTCATTAGAGAGTCCGCACCCGAGTGCCCGCCGTACATTTGGGGTCCTGCTTCGCACGTTGCGGCCCTGGTATCTTTCATACGCGAGATTCGAAATCCGGTTATGGTCGCCCAACAATGTGCCGCTTATCCTGCCCTTCAGCTCGTTCAAGACGCCGACCGTCTCGATGGCTTAGGCGCAGTGGGCATCGTACGCGGGGCAGTGTACGGAGGCGTGACTGAGCCACGTGGTACTGGTACGGTCCGACGGGTTGTACATATAGCAGACGAGCGTCATGCTCGATACCCGGAGATGATGAAGACCCGCGCTGGCAAGAAGGAGGCAGCGAAACGCTGGGAAGCCATGAAGGAGATCAGGAATCAGATTGTGCAGCAGGCGAATTGCGAGGATGTGCTCGAGGAGTATTGAGACCTACCTAGGTATACCTAGTCTGCAGAAGCGATTGAAAAGGCATGAAAGATTCTTACGCGTTCTTCTGCGAACGTATAGCCTAGCGAAATGAACAATACCCCTTGGATTGGACATAGACAGTAGTTACAGCAATATCAAAATCAAGTACTGCGCTAGTTTGTTCTGTACATAAGCCTGAAGTTAGAGACATATTATTGATCAAGCGCCAGCTAAGTGATGGTGATGGTTGTCAATGGCAAAGCAAAGCAGGTGGGGCTTATTTCGGAATGTCGGCGATGAATTGTTGTGTTCGTGTTCAACTGCGTCCATGGCGCCTTGCTGAACTTGGAGCTTACGCTAAGCGCCCAAACAAGACTAGTGCCTCGCTTGACGCCCACCTGCCGTGAGTGATTTCGTCTCTCGCAATCGACCTCGAACTTTCAGACTCCGACCAGTTCGACATCAAGCCGCCAAAATGTCCGCCAACTCTCTGAACAAGATCGCGCCCAACAGCCCGTCGAGGCAGAACCCCTCTGAGATCGAGACCAGCATCGCCAGCGCAAGTTTGCCCGTCAATTGCACATGGGCGACGCCAGCACTAACACGCACGGCAGGCGTTGACTGACCTCGAGAACAATGTCCCCGACCTGAAGGCTTCTCTGCGCCCTCTCCAGTTCGTCTCTGCTCGCGAGGTATGAAAACCCGAACACCACCATGCGCTATCGAGCGTCGCCTACACACCTACCTACACCCATACCCATACATTGAAGAGGCGGTGGGCACTGGGCAGCAACATCAAGCTGACACCAGGATTCTTAGATCGAGGTTGGCCACGGACGCAAGGCTATTGTCATCTTCGTCCCTGTTCCCCTTCTGTCCGGATGGCACAAGGCCCAGCAGCGGTATGTCCTATTTATGAAGTGAAAGAATTCCCATACTAACATCTCTCAGTCTCACCCGTGAGCTCGAGAAGAAGTTCTCTGACCGCCACGTCCTGATCGTTGCTTCCCGCCGCATTCTCCCCCGCCCCAAGCGCTCCAACCGCTCGCGCACCAACCAGACCCAGAAGCGTCCCCAGTCCCGGACTCTCACCGCTGTCCACGACGCCATCCTGACCGACCTCGTCTTCCCCGTCGAGATTGTCGGCAAGCGTCTCCGTACCCGTGAGGACGGCAGCAAGATCCTCAAGGTTGTCCTTGACGAGAAGGAGCGCGGTGGTGTTGACTACAGGCTCGACACCTACAGCGAGGTCTACAAGCGCCTCACTGGCAAGGGCGTCAACTTCGAGTTCCCCCAGAGCCAGCAGACCGACTACTAGATGTAGGCGGGTTCGTTGGGTTTGATCGATCTCGTTATATCTACATGGGTCAGGAGTACGGCAGGGCTTCGGTTATGCGTCATGTACCGGCATCAAAAAGGAATGAGAATGAGATGATATGAGCCTGTATTAGGCACCCCTTCAAGATACCACTTGCAATTGATTTCTTTTACTGTGATGGTGCCTGTGCCTTGGCATGCTCATCTGTCTACTGTCGGTCCAGCTCAGGGTAATGCCTGAAGATACCCATGCTGAACTCCTTCCGCCTCTCGCTAGCTAGGTACTCTTTGATTCCCTTGGTCTCCTTGACGCTGTCATAGAAGGTTCCAAACAAGAGTGGGTAGTCCTTCTTCCTTGCCTCCATTTCTTTGGGAAAGGCAAACTCCAATCCGCTCAGCACATGCCAGACTGTAGGGTCGGCATAGCTGAGACTATCCCCAACCAGGAACTTGCCCTGTCCCTGCGCCTCATTGCCCTTGAGCACACGCTCAAAGTACTTCAGGAACTTGGGAATGCGCTTCTCGCGGAAGTCGGTAGCCTTCTTGAGCGATTCCTCCTTCTGGTCCTCGTAGTATAAGCTCATCGAAACGGGGTGGTGCGTATCGTGGGCTTCGTTGTTGAGGTCCAGCGCCGTCAGAGTATGCGACAGGATCCACGACTTCTCTGCTTCGTCTGCGCCACTGAGACCAAGCTTGTCGCCAAGGTAAGAGAGGATCGATGGCGTCTGGTAGAGAACCAGCGCAGCACCGTTCTTGCCTTCGCCGGGAACGCGCAGAGCAGGTGGTGCGAAGACGGGAGGGTTGCCATCGGAGCCTGTGGAGGACTGGTCGGTGAGGGTGCCGATGATTTTCATGCCTACCAAGTTGTTAGCTAGGGCAGTACAGAGTGGGATGTGGCTTTATGCTGCATACCGTCCTCAGACTCATTGCAAACGTCTTTGTAGGAGACGCCTGCTGCTTCGAACGCCAGGCGAATGAACTCTCCGCGTCCTGGAATGCCAGGCCAGTACAACAGCTCGTACGGAGGTTGGGTGCGTGCTTTCTTGTTCGCAGACATGGTGGTGGTATGATACCGAATCCCAATTGAGCCTTGTCTGTAGTGTTTAGGTAGCTTGTGGAAGCTGTAGAGGGTGCGGAGAAGTCGAGAGGAAATGCGAAGCATGCAGCTGCAATTGCTGCCCTAGGGGACGGTTATAAGTAGGGCGAGAGTACCCCATGTCAGCTTTACGTGCCATTGCAGCTGGAGGCACTCGTGCAGATTGTTTGGCGTCATTGTGGGGTTAAGGTTGGTTCAAAGGTAACGTGCACCACCAGTAAGCGGCCCACACCAGTAAGTGGCCCACCCCACCTAACCTGACGCGACGCTCTGCACAACCACCACTATGCCGCGACAACAACGCTCTATACAGACTTCTCGTAAAGGTAGAGTTCTTCTAGCATCTCGTGCGCTTTAAGAGAAACGTATTACAAGCCAGCGTCAAGCTGCCATGCTATACGACGCTCCACGAACGACGCTCCGACGACGCCTCCGCGGTACCCAGCCACGATCAGAGACAGCCTCTGTTAATCGCAAGCTATC